CAAATTGAAGGTGTGCGCGGCGCTTCGAGCCGCGGACTATACTAATCTAACTCAAAAACGGTAAGTTGGACCACAGACAAATTGAAGGAGACGACCTCCTAACCACCATTTCAATTTTTCGGGAATTCAAGGAACCTGCGGTTTGATAATCGCGTTTTTCTGCAATAAGTTAAATGATAATACAGATAAGGAAAATCTAGATATAAATCAACAACATTTCTAAATACATTACAAAGAAAATGCATTTAGCATTTATTAAATTATATTCCACTGCGTGTCCTACTTTCCCGCCCATAGAACCCGGTAAACACCGTTTTCTCAGGAAAACATGCAGGGTGTACGGAGTAATGAGTGGAGCTAGATAAGCTTTTGTTTCCCAAAACTTACATTTTATGACGGAGGTTTTATTGGTAAAGTGTAATTAATTGTGGCAAACTCATCCGAATATAAAAGTCATCCAAAGCATATTGGACACCGCAATTTCCATTCCATTAATTCTTCGTCCCTGACTACCATCTATTGATGCAATCTTACGAGGGCAGTTGACAAAGGCTGGACCCTATCCACTCGAATGTTGTAATATCTTCTCAATTTAATGTTTTCTGATCTACCGACTACGAAGCGTCGTAGTTTTAATCGTATCGTCAGCTATAAACCAGCTTATCAACAATCGAGCACGCCGCCGCTAGTTAAATTTATAATTTATCAGCAGTCATAAATGCGGAAGTTAATGTCGTCCTTGAAACCTCGATAGTCATATTAATTTCTTTTATCTGATCTTCTCATGTACCAATTATTTTTGCAATTCTCTTTCAACTGCGAAGTTGAGAATCTTCTGACCGACAGTTATTGATCCAAAAGTACAGCCCCCTCTTTCTCCTCTCTCTCTGTAGACTTCTTTAGTCCCTTGCTGTTCTTTCTCGTGGTTTGTCTTTCGGTCGAATCTTAAACGTTTTGAGGTGAAATTGAGTCTGGGTTCCGTGTGGTGGCCCAGTACAGTAATAATGGATCTACTAAACCACTTCTCTGTCTATTTTGCTGTATTCGGCTGGCAAGCACACTGGTGAAAAGTACACAGCTGAAAGCAGGTGAATATCGAGAGAACTGGGTAAGAATTACTTATTTTAGCCCATTTCCGGCCAGAACATGAGAACAAAAACCACCCACAACGCAGGCGTCCTTGCGCCAAGTTCCAGAGAAAAAAAAACAATCAGAGTTAACATAATTCATGTTTACGGTTAGAATGAAGGTTAGGGTTTGTGTTAACTATAGATTTAGGGCTACTGTTTAGGCTTAGGTTAGGATAATGCTAGGGTTAGGACGCATGACTATTTGCCTTTTCTGGAACTGCGCGCAAGGCCACCTAAATTACTTAGGGGGGAGGGGGAGCGTTTCTATTTCCGTCTCTTGCTTGGGGGTGGGGGCATATGAGTAATCCTTAGCGAGTCTTGATGTAAGATGCAGCAGTCGGCCTGAAGCCCCGAACCGTGCTCGAATTTCATCACTGAAAGTCGCGGTGTTTTCAATGACTAATGGTCCGTTTTCACGGAAGCTTGATGCACGAACAAGGATTACAGTTCGTAATTCTGCCAATATTCCCATTTTACGATTGATAAGTGATCTTGGCAAATACGTGTTTTCAGCAATTCGTCATCAGGCCAATACAATTGCAGGGATTTAAATGGTCAGTTATGTGTAGTGTTTAAATAGTCCTTGGGGCAAGGGGACTATTTAGACACTAATTGAGGCAAAAGTCCGCATCCCATGTACGTGTGTAGATTGAGAAGAAGAAGCTGTGTCGATCACCGGAATCATAGTTTTATTAGTCTGAGCTTTCGAACTCCTACAGGAGTCTATCGTCAGAGATAGGGAAAAGCAACAAATGGAGGGCTGGTTATGGCGTGTGTACAAAACAAAAGTTTGAACGTGTAGAAAATCAATAAGTGTCTGGTGTGAGCGCCGATTGGCCACTGCGGGCAGTTAACTGATGTATCGAGCTGGCGCCCGCATATGTTGCTCTGCGCAGGTATCTCCAGACTCAAGGTACTGGTGATTTATTGGTCCTTTCCCCCACTCCCCCTCCCCTATGACGTTTTATTGACCCTTCTTACTGTAAAGGTTGCTTATTTTCGTTGACGATTTTATTTCTGTAAATATCCCCACCCAACACGCCGATCTCGCCTACTTGCACAGACTGACATAGT